ATATCTGTAGGGGAGAAAATGCATAAGGGGTGTACAAACGGTGTAAAGAAGACTGTATATATACTTCAAGGTACAAATGAGCCCATGTTACAGTCAGTCTGGCTATGGGAGCACAATGTACAAATGTAGCACAAGAGATGTGAAAAAGTAAACAATCAAAAGGGAGGATGAGTAAAGAAAAACAATCCCAAAAGATAAGGGGTGTGAAAGAGTGTACTACTGTTATCCTGAAGGCATATGAGAAAGCATAGTTGTAAGGAGGGTGTCTTGAGAAAATATGTGTAGTAATGTAATGTGAACAGAAGTACTTGTAAAGGAGTGTGGGTGGTGTAATGAGAAGAGATATATGTAAAGAAATAGTACTTGTGAAAATCATGATGTATGTAGTAAACTGTAAATATGTGCTGTATGTAGTTAATGTGTAAAGTAAATGTAAAGAATAATATCTGTAAAACTAGAACTGCAAATAACTAATGAGCCAGTAAGAAATGAGATATGGCTTGAGTGAGTGACTATAGGTAAAAAAGGGTGTAGAATCTGAATAAGCAGTAATATTATAATAATTCCCAGTTAATGTACAGTAAAATATTAGATGATATGGAAAGGTATGGGTTACCACACCGCAAGGCTCTTTTGGTTGCTAGCGGAGCTGCCGAGCGAGCTGCTGAACATCGCGGGGGTGGACCAAAGCTGCCCTTGGCTGCTGAGTTTGGCAGCTTTGGCCGTGTTTCACCCACCCCCGCTCAACTTCACAGTCCGCATTTAGGACAACTGTGACAGACCGGTGACACCTTGGGACATCTGACTCCAGGCCGCCAAAGGCGAGCCGATCCACCCCCAGACCGTCAGAGATGCTCTTATTTAATGTACTGAAGTGATTTCTGATGAGCAATCAAAATAATCATCTGTGACAGTATAGCAACAGGGCTGAAGACAGGCACAGCTATCTAGGAGGTTAGGGTTCAGAAGGAAAAAGGTTGCTGCGGAATCATGTAACGACAATCATCACCATTAGGTTTAGATTGTGTATTTAGATTCCTTGTACAGAACCTTGTTTTTCTTTCTCTTTCCTTTTTTCCTCACTCATCTAGTTGCTTCTTTTGTATCACCTCAAATAGGTGAATAAGCTTTCTTCTTTTTCCTTCAGTCCTTGCTCCCACTTCTTTGTGCTCACTGGGGACCACTGGTGTTTCTCATCATCTAGACTGCAATAGACCAGCATGGATAGAATGGGTTTCAAGGCTGGAAGATGCCCCAAGACAAACAATTAAGAGATTCAAGTA